CAATAATTTTCCAATTGTATAGTTTAGTTGTTGAGTGATTCTTATGTATTATTAGATTACATATTCTGTTCAATCAAAATATACAAACTTGCTTCCTCAGTTACAAAATAATTGTCATTTTTTTAACTAACATTTGTGTTGTTTGTTAACTTTAATTGTTTACCTTATTACTAAAACTTATTTATTTAATTTTACTTTTTAAAATAATATAGATAAATATGAAAAAAACTCAAATTCTTAATTTGTAGAAAATAATAAAAAAAAAAAAAAACAACCCTTATTTTTAGACATTTGAGAATAATATGAAGATATGCATTACTAGATTTTTTATAAGCAAAGATATATGTATATTTTCACATACATAAGAATCTAATTGGTAGAAATTTACCATTCACTTTTTGATGAGAGGTTCTGTTCTTTTGGTGATTATTTGTGCCACATGGTATTTCAAGTTGAAGCAAGAGACAAGACCGACAATATCTTGTTGAATTTAAGAACTCAATGGAATCTCGAAATTGCTCATTCTCATTTACATTTTCAAATTAACTTCTAAAAAAGAATGCTTCCACCGACGGTCGTCATTCATTTCTGTTGTTAATTTGCCGATTAAATCATTTTTAAGTTGTGTCTAAACTAAACTAGAGCCCCTCAAAGACAGCAGCTAGTGCAAACATATCATAATCTGCAAAACTGCATTGGTCCTTGCTACTATCCTTGCACCCACACCCTTCCCAATTCCTCAATTTCTTCTTCTTCTGCTCCACTTTTTCCATTGCCGGAGCTCGTACTTTCATTGCTACTTCCAGCGAAAGAGGCTTAACTCCTTCAAAGGTACGATCAATTGCCGAGGCCATCGGAACCCATTTCTCAACCTCCATGTTTTCCGATTCAAAAACAGCCTTCCATGGTACTTCCCCTCTACCCAGAAGCCTTGACTTCCTCATTTTCCAGAGCACCGGCACCGTGCTTCTCCACCGGAGCTCGAAAATAACACTCTGTTGCTTTAGGTCGTTCAGATAGTCTTGAGTACCTAGGCACTCCAAGCAGAATGTCTCGTTCCAAAAGAGGTCAGATTTTGAGGAGATTTCTCGAGTATTCAGCGCAACTCTCTTGTTTTTCCCAGCAGAGAGATAATATCTCACAAAAAGGCTTCCTGTGGAGTTGAAAAAGTCTAGGTTTTTGGCCTGTATGATTCTCAGTTCACAACTAAGAGAGGAAAGAAAATTTGAAACACCCATTTGAGAGAGAAAAGCTAGTTCTGTTTGGTGAGGAGTTGTTTGGGTTGGGGAGGTGTGTTCTGACATTGTATTACACACACACACACACATATATATATATAGGTAAATGAAGGGATATATATGGTGGAAGAAAAGTTGGATGTGCTTTTGAGGCGGCTACTGATCTTATATATTATACATGTGTAGTGGAAGGAAGCATGTAAAGCACCAAAAGATTTAGTAGAGATATTATATGAGTTTGCCCCTTTTATATGTTTTGGGATGGGAATGAGATTGTGTTGAACATTTTCATTTGATTATAATAAGTCCTTCTGAATCATGACGAGATGGATTTTGAGATCCTAATCTGATTCTGACCCTTATTGCAAGTAGTCCTGTTGATTTGGTTCGTAGTGGCCTCACCCCTGCATGTTGTAAATTTGCCAATTTCATGCACCGTGATGCTCGTAGTTCCTTTTCTATTTGGTTTGTTATAAATTTGAACACTAGACCTTCAAGTTAGGATCTTATATTCTTAGTCAATAATTAAACCATCTTTTGGGGTGAATCAAATTTCATTTTTTGAGAAGATGGTGAGGAAATCTTATAAAATTTTTAAGTTTTGGAAGAAATGATCCTACTTTTGACTAAGGACAACTTAAAAGTAACAAAATGAACTTAAAATTAACCCAAAAATGGTGCTTGATGATTGATATCAAATTGGAGTTTTCTTAGCTGGAAAGCAGAACACACAAGTTGAGAGATCAGAGAAGATCCCACTTTGACAATCCGTTAAGTAATTAAACACAACTTGTTATAATTTGAAGATAGGCTCTAACAAGATCAGAAGGCGGAAAGCATCTTGATGACTATGCAACTCTGAAAAGGGGAGAGAATTCAGTATCTTTTGGAGATACAGAAGGGGATATATATGATATCTACTACTTAACCGTATTCTCTCTCCAAAATAATAGGCAAGCCGGTGCCTATCAAAGGCCAACTACAGAAATACTGAATTACAATTGGATGCTTTTGAACTCAAACCTTTGGCTATCTTTTTTTCTACTATTCTAATAGGTAAGTTGATTAGTACCAATCTCATGCTGTTTCATTGAATCATTATTCAATAGGCAATTTGAAACTTCCTTTTTGGTTCTATCAAAAAATAAAAAAACTTTTCTTTTTGTATTTCAAAGAGTTGGTATCTGCTTAATTATTGAAAGGGTAGAGGAAGGCTAAAAATTTGAAAATGCCAACCTCCTAACAGAGAAAGCGGCAAGCAGCAAAAGTCACTTTATTCTCTTGTGGATAGGCATTGAGTTACTTTGTAGTGTATATTCTTCTTGACAAATGTGGTTGATCTAAAAGACCAAGTGACAAAAGTTAAATCGCAATTTATTTTCTTTCAATATGATTCGTAATTCAATTTTTCATTATCACTTAATTAAGTTTTTTCATTAATTAATTATGTTTTTGTCTCTCTCTAACTTTGTATTGTGTATTCTTCTTATTAAATGATTAACGAATCATAATTTCTCACTTTTTGAAATTACTCTTTATAGTTTAATATGCTTTCTTAAACATGGGTGGTTTTCCATTCATAGGTTTTTCTTTTTTCTTATTTTGTCCATACTGTTTTTGCTTAATTAATTTAACTAGGATTTGCTTGTTTTCTTATTTAGATTGGTGCCTAAACACTACTCTTAATTTGTGCTAGGCTTGAAGATAAATAGTCGTTGAAGTTTGAGTTGAATAGTAGATGAGTTGGCATCAAAGACTTAATGAGGAAAAATGCGTGTGCACGTGCGTGTGAAAGAGAGATGAGATAGCATCAAGACTAGATAAGGCAAAGTGTGTAGCGTGTATATTATATATGGGTTTTTCTAATCTATGCCCCAAGGCATAGATTAAGAAAAATTTTCTAACATTAATTGTTATTAAAAAATAAATTTTAATTAATATTTATTTAATCAACTATTCAATGAAAACAATTCATGTAACATTAATAATCAAATTAATGTTAACTTTTATCATTTTATATACTAATTAATATAAAAAATATATATTATTATACCCTTAATCTGTACCTAAGTACAAAGGCTAGATAAATCCAACATATATATTCATGACATTTACTTTAGTTTCACTTGTGTTGTGTGTTATATTACGCTTGTAGGTTATATTAGTGAACCAAATTTGTGCCGTGTGTAGAGTACTAGTTTGAGATAACAGCATAACACCAATTATTTTTCCGAAGCATATTTGTCCAATGAACTTGGTGAGGAAAACATTTCAATATTGAATCACAAATAAAAAATTTCTTAGTAAAAAGAACCTAAGAAGATTTAAAGTTTTAATCTTAAATCAGATGATGAATTATTTATAGAAAAGACAAGATTCATCATCAAATGCACAAAAAAAGGATAACAATAATTTGGTTTTTTGATCCGCAAGAGATGACAATAATCATTTAAATATGACCAATTCAAATGAAACAAATCCTCATGAGTTTTTTTTTTTTATCTTCCCCCTGAGGGTTCTATACACACAAACCTCCATAAAAATACTAGAAACTTCATTCACGATTCAAATCTTCAAGCTAAAATGGTTCTCTACACTCCTAATCTCCACTCTTTTTCATTTTTCTACAGTTGACATTAACATCAACAAATCGGGACCCCTAAAAAATAATAAAAATTGTAAAAACAAGTTTTACTTCTAAACACAATGACCAAACACATTTTCTCATTCAAATATGCTTCTAATAGCAAGCAAGATATCGGGCCAACTTCCAGGCATAACAAGGCTAAAGCAGTGGAACATGAAACAGCAAATACTAGGGTCATGACCAAAGCCTGGATGTAGGTAGAGTTTCAATTACCAAAGCCTGCATCCTATGGTCATGACTCATTTTCTGAGAGCTGCTGCACATTATATCCAAGCTTCATGTCTGCAACAACAAATCAAGGGCTAAGTGCATTGTTCCGAATTAATTATCCCAAAGAACAAAACATTGTTCAAGTTCACAACAGCATGAGCTCATTGTAAAGAAAAGGATTACCAAAAAAAAAAAAGAAAAAAAAAGAAGAGTATTTATGCAGACGTTAAGCTTAAAAAATGCAGCAATAGTCATTTTACAGGAGTATAAATGCTAAATATAAATGGAAATTACATTAGAAACTAAGCTGCTACCATCGTTTGTGAACATAATACTGTGTAAAAGAAAAAGCAGGTGCTCACAAGACCTATCCGCGTAAGGCCCATCACATACTCTTGACCAACAGAATATAATTAGAGGGATGAACTCTATCGTCTATGGCACTATCCCCAGGGAATCCAAATGTTAAGTCTTAAGTACCAGAAAGCTGAGATGGGTAAAGAATTGTGTCTCCATTCCCCAATTTCCCTTAATAACTTACAAAAACATGAACAATATCATAAGTTTATTCAGGATTAAAATGTCAAATAGTACCTTTCATGGAGGGTTTATCATACTTATCTCCTCTCTCATCTTCATTCTTCCATTCACTATCATCATCATCATCATCACCCATTTCATCCCTTCCATCATTTCCTATGTCACTTTCACTTGCTGTCTCCCATTCAGAATCATCAGTGTCCTGGCCATAGATGTCACCAGCATCACCCTCACTGTGGACTCCCCCATGTTTGATTGCTGCTTCTCTAAATAACCAAGCTGCACGCATCTGCTTCTTGACCAAACGTTCAGCATAGTCAGGAACCTTGTTCTGTCTCAATGAGAGGTCAGGGTCATTTGACTGAGAGCACTCGTTTATGAAAAGAATGGCATCTAGCAAACTCTCTTTAGCTAAGCCAAGCATATCATAAGCCTGAGCTCTTCTCCAGAGGCTTTTGGCATGACGGTTAAGTGGATTGTGAAGACATAGTGCACGTGTTGCATCACTTATGGCAGCCAAGGGTTGCTGCAAGAGCAGATGACACTGAGCTCGATTACTGTACAGAACAACTCTCTCTTTCTTGGATCTCACTGGACATAATGTCAATGCTTCTGAGTATTTTGATGCAGCTTCAGCTATATTTCCAGAAGAGAAAAGAGAATTTCCTTCAAGCTTGACCACTAATGCAGCTGCCTGTTTAATATGGAGATCCTCTTTTGGCATATTCTTCTCCCATTTCAATCTCTCCCTCGAATTTAGTAGTTCTTCAATCAGCTCTTTTGTACGGTTACTGATAGAGTTTCTTCCTGTCCCTTGAGATTGGATGCATTCCTGCAGAACAGTAACAATGGAATCCCCAAGCTTTTTGTGATCACCAAGGTTGGTAATCTCAGCAAGGTCTACAAGAGCAGGTACCGCCTTATCAATCACCTACATAACAGATGAGGAAGCATTAAATGTATGCAACAAGTCATATTCAGCCACAAAGTGGAAGTATTCTATTTGTTTAGATTTTAGATATTATATACAGCTTGCTTTCTTGCCAAAGATTGGCTAAGTAACAGGAAAATGCCAGCTTGCATCTATTAATTTGAATATTAGCTCTTTCCAAAAGTTAAATTAAAGCAAGATTAAGGAAATTCCAAGCAAAGCCGAACCAGATCATCTCCCAGAACCAGCTATTATTTATGGTCCTTAAAAAGTCTAAAAGCATAAAATTTTTAAAGAGTCATTTAACTAATCTAATTTAGTACCAACCAGCCATAATTTAAAAAAGGAGGAATTGGTTTAGATAAAATGCCAAGATTAGAGAGGTCAGAAGTCTAGTTTTTACCCCAGCAACTTTTTTATATGGCAAAAATTATTTAACACCCTCAGTCTGAAAAATAATTTTATTTTATTTTTTAACTTTTTCTCTTAGGGACAATTTATGTGTTTACCTATAAAACCCTTAAAAAAGAAATAAAAGATAAATAGATTTTTTGTGTATAGGATTAATAATTAAAGTAAAGAGATAATGATAGGAGAAAATTATTTGTCTACTTTATAAATTGAAAAAAGAATAATTAATTTGGGACAAATTCAAAGTTAAAAAACCACAGTTATTTTGGGACAAAGGGAGACACGATCAATGTATATAGCAAACCTCACTGTAAAAAATGATGTTCATAGAATAATGACATGACCAAAATTGAAAATCAGCATGCCATTGACTTTGCCACTAAAACGTGAAAAATAAATTTCCAATTGATGACAAAATTAGGAGGCAGCTGCCTATTGAATAAGGGTAAACAAAAGATTAGAGGAACAAAATTTACCTTATGACATGTACTCAGGTCTTGAAGCAACCAAAGAAGACAATCAATAGCCATATACTGCCAGTCATCAGATGAGCGAGCAATGTTACACAATGCTTCAATTATACCAGGACAGCTAGCAACAGGTCCTCTACCAAGCTTATGATGACAAATGGTCCTTAATAAACCAATACCTGCAGGTGAGTTTTCGTTAACAAGTCCACCCCACATCCCTGGTAGATTCGTGAGGAATTCAGTTTTGCAAATGGTTGGAAGAAACTCTGGCTTAAATGCAAAGCAATTAATGAGCTGAAGGGACCAACATTGCAACTGACTAGCCCATTCCTCTGCCTTCCTGGACTCCATTTCAATACCACCCATACCACGAGTAAGCAGATCACGATGATAACTTAGCCTTCTATCTACATACTGGTAAAAATGCGAGTAAACTATTTCCAGTGAACTCATGGCTAGATGAATGGAGAGCTCAAGGATTTCACCATGACTTGCTACAGCAGGAAAAGTGCTGGTATATGTAGACAAGTGTCCTAGAGCTCGCACTGCCACTCTTTGTTCTACCCAAGTTAACCTCCCGCTCAAAAGCTCAACCAAAGGAGGGATTACTCCGGCATGTATAGCAGTTTCTGCAAACTCTTCCATGTTCATGGTGTAAGACCCAATAATATGCGCAGCATAATAAGGAATGTAAATATTTTGGTCATGAGAAAGCCAACGACGGTTCTTGAGACCCTTCCATATTAGTGTAGCCATGCATTCAAATATCCCCAATTCAATGAACTCTGGATCATTAGGATGTGCCATAGCAGTGTTCCAGAGGCCACTGATAGGAAGAACCTGACCATCATCATCCTGTAAAGGAAGGTCTCTGAAGAATTTCAGTATACTGGCTCTGCGCTTGCTTGGATTTCCTTCCTTCATAACACAAAAAAAGCATCCAGGGTATGGACAGTCTTGAGATACTTTATCCATGTTCAGATGCTTCCCCACACGAGATTCATACGGTGCCGAGTCAAATCCTCATTGTCTGGGAAAATCTTAGGCCAAATTCTTCAATACTGCATAATAATTACAATAACTTTAGCATCTAGAAGTACTAATAATTTGTAAGTTCATTGTTTGCAATTGTGTTTCCTTCTAGTTTGTACGCTCATATATGCACTTTTAGCCTAGAAAGGGGTTAATAGGAGTTTTAGTAAGTCATTTGTCATCTGTTCTGCTGTGTTAAAAGTTCAGAAGAGGATATGTCCCTTTCTCTCTTTTATGTCAACTTGTGGAGTTGTTCAATTCTCAATTTCAAGCATTTGTATCATATTAAAAAAAAAAAAAATCAAGTACTTATATTGCCTCAAAAATTGAGAGAAAAGGCAAAAAACAGTGGAACAAAGTAAAATTAGCTTTCATCGCTTGTGTAGGTTAACAAATGCCATAAAATGATTATAATTCTGCTACGAGAATCTGAAGGACAGAGTAATTAAATTATTTGAGAGAAAACCTCAAAATTCACTATCAAAATCATGGCATAAGCAATCAAACAGCACCTACACATTGCGAAATCAATTGGATCTGAAAATTAAAACTCAAACAAGCCCAGTTGGAAATAAGATCCAAAATCAAATTAACACAAAATTAAAGGCAGAACCCATAATTCATCTCTCACAGAGGAAACAAATCAAAATGATAAAAATAAATAAAATAAACATAGAAACTTGAACCTCACATGAACAGCAGGAAACCACAGGAGACTAAAGATATCTAAAACCCCAAAAGAGAATGAGGGAATAAAATTGAAAATGACAAGAAGGAAGAAGCGTATACCTTGAAATAATTCTCTTTCCCCGTAATCTGAAAAAGGGGGCAGCTTTTCCTACTGCGCGAAAGCAGATTGATGGGTTCCTTTGACTGTGGGTGTTTCCTGCTTCAGTTGGTGCTGAAATGCGAGGTGAAGAGGAGATGACATCAGAGGGTGGCAGTGGGAGTTACGGGGGTTTTCTAGTTTTGGGGGGGCCTTGATTCGGACAGCAGAAGAGAAAATCCTGTTCGTGTAATGAAAACGATACTAAAGAAGTCAAGCAGTACAATGCTTGAATCGATGTAAAATTTTCCGAAGTGGATTCGAATCCCACGCGCGCGTTTTTCAATTATTGAGGTGCTAACGAGATGGGGCATAAGTAAAGGAAAAACCAACAAATGAGCCCTCGAATTTGTGTAAGTGGCATATAAAGCCCCTAAAGAGAATGTTAGCAAATCTTCCCAAAATGTACATCAATAAATGGAGGTGATTAAGAATACATTTATTGTACTTTTTTTCTTTTTATTTTTTTTAAAAAATAAAAATTAATTTTAATTTTATCAATTATTTAATTAAATTATTTTCTATGACATTAATATTAAAAATAAAATTTACTTTCATAATTTTTCATACAAATTAATAATGAAAATGTACAATAAATACATATTTAAAGACATGTTAGAAACTCTTAATAAATTCTTACAGTTGTGTGAAGTGATCTTTTATATTGGTAGGTTAAATAATGGGAGATGTCACCTCTCTTCCCATTTCCCATTCATTGGTGTTAATATGATTATTATGACTTAAAATTCAAGACCACATACCACATTAGTTATATTTTAACAAATCAATAACAATTTGATAGAAAAATAAATGTAAAATTTTGTGAATATAAATGAGGTTTAAAATTAATTATTTAGTTTGGGATTTAAAATTTCATTAACTCATTATACAAGGTTAAATGATTGATTGGGCAAAAAAGAAAAAGAAAAAGAAAATTATACATGGTCCAAATATGTCATCTAAGCTTTTCCCTAAATTATATATAAGGTCATTTGGGATCTAGTGATGTTTTAGTGTTATCAATTGCTAATGTTTAACATTATATTTGTAAATTTTTATTAATAAATTTTTTGAAAATGTTAGACACACATGTCTCCCATCTCCTAAAGAAAACATCAACTTCATTATCTTTTTATCATATATGAAATAATCAAGAAATTAAATTAATCAAATTTAATTAACTTTGAATTAAAGAAAAAAAAAACCATCACCATAATGTTCTTGAGCACTACTTAAGTGTGCCTTAAGTCTAATCTATCCACCCAAAAATTTTAGAACTTAAAGACACTTTGGACATTAATAGGAGTCCCTTCACAATGTTATGTTATTGCCAATACCATTGTTTGCCAATACCATTGTGATTAAGAAACCAAGAGAGGGTGAAACTCTATGGCAAGGTCCAAACCAAAGTACTTTTAAATTTGGATTCAATATTAGATCAAGGATATATTATTATATGTGAAATTAAATCTAAATTTCAAAATTGATGGGGCAATGCTAAAGCCTAAACACATTTCTTGATTTAAAACTTCTAAACTATAGAGCTATGAGTTTTTTTACAAGTAATTGATTGCCATGATTTCTTATTTTTGTTAAATTACAATAACATAATTTTTAGTTTACTAGTAATAGTAATTAAGTAGGAAATAATTGAAAAATAATTAATAATACAAAAAAATATTATATATTTTAAACTATACAACTTAAACTATTAAAGAATGATGGGTTGTTTGATAATAAGAATTGTCCCTTCATCAAATGATTCTTATTTTGTTGTCAAGACTAAAAAACAAAAACCTTTAATAATATAAAGTAACATTAGTAATTTAATGTTAATTTAGTTCCATTTAATAGGGACTTTATTTCTACAACTTGGTAGGAAGTTTTTTGCTACTACTTTTTCTTTAGGGTCTTATCGACACTACTCAAAAGGTTTGAGGTTCTCTCAATTAATTGCATTCAATTTTGATGATGAAACTTTCGCGTGTAGGAAGGCGCGTGAAGACAATAAATATGGAGAGGATTATTATTGGGAGAGATTATGCCACCGATAACTTTGTTAAAATTATTAATTTTTATTAGTTTATAATTCTTC